TCTCTGTGGCCAGGTGTGGATGGTAAATGATGGATTAAGATTCGAAAAACACCTTTCGACCAATTGATAACGCTGTAACCATTTGTTAAACAGCGAGTGTCAAATTGCTGGTTAAAAGGTGATTTTGTACCCAGGCCAGCATAATTGGCATCGCAGGTACACCAGAAGTGATGTACATCATGTGAATTGGCAGAAACCGGTTTCTCTCTCCTGGTGATTCCAAGGTTGATCACTCGCAGGTCAGCCGCGTTCTAAGTTCTTCCTAAATCTGTGGACAATCGATAATTTTGATCGTCTTCCTTCCAAGGAGTCAACGGTCCGACTCAGGAAACTTCAAGTTGATAGGTTTTTTGGCCATCATACCACATCGGGCTGCTTGTACCATCTCTTCGCTAGGTCACTTGGAGAACTGTAACGAGAATTTATTCTCATAAGGGAAACTACTCACAAGGTTGCTGAATACTCTTCGACAGCTCATATGTATTTGTCGAGTATTCACTCGCTTCTAGAGCCTCCTTGAAACTCCCCAACTTGCGGTCAACGGGGTTGGGTGTGTGAATTCGAGCTGTTTAAATACACAGTGTTCGCTGTTCCTGTACGTCAACAAATTAGAACGACAAAAACGCGTGTACTATTCAGACTAGATAGGTTTTTTTATAGGCATACACACCTCTTAACTGTGGGCAGAATACTCGGGGAAGTCATACACTCATCGGTCTATTCCTCGCAGGTAATGGAAAAGTACTCGATCTTCAAACAACCTCCGTTTTTCGTAGTGTGAGAGGACTTGGGAATTGCGATGAAGTCTTCGACCCGTCAGTGAAACCAATTTATGCCAAAAAGCCAAGAAACTGCTTCATTCGTATTGAGAATCATCAGCAGTGCGCATCTCACTAGACTAAAGGAAATCTCAAACCTGCAACCTCTCGTCTAATAGTTCGAACAATTGTCCGTTCGGCTACGAGAAGCTCTGATCGGCAGTGTGACTAACTTGCGCCCGGAGCATAGCGCCATTCATTCTGCACTCACGGGGTCTACATCACGTGAGCACACTTACTGACTAGCTTCTTTAAGAACGAGTTAATCACACCGCTGACCGCTACCGCTCGTGACTAAACGGTCAAATATTCAACCTAACCGGTGGGAGGTCACCGATTCGAGATGTGCCTTTGTTTCGTGAGTAGACACCGCTGATGGTTTCCAATAAGGATGAAACAGCCAAACAGTAGTCAATTTTGCTTTCACGAAAGACTCAACTGAATCTGTCGCTTATGATATTCTAAAACTGAGTGTGCTGCACACAAACCGCCTCATGTTTCAGTTTGAATGATATTCGGGACATCGTAGAATATTTTCATAAAGGAAACTAATCACCAGATTACTGAAAACTCTTTGACAGCCCACGACCGCTATCGCTTTCTTGTGGCTCATCAGGCAGGGGCGCAGTCCCCGAGGTTCCGTCAACCTTATGTTCTACTTGAAACCAAATTGCACGAGTATACACTCATTTGCAAACTCATTTGCAAATTTGGTCTTGCGAGAGAATGTCCTAGAACCTAGCTGAATCTCTCGTTTGTGATGTTTCCAGGCAACTGAATGTGCTACACCAGGCAGCTTCATGTTTCAGTCGCTACGACATTCGAGATATCGCGATACACGTATATTTGTAACGTACTACTCATAAGGTTGCTGAAAATCCATCGACAGCCCACGACCGGTTTCGCCCTTCTTGAGACTCATCAGCTGGGCGCGGTCCCCGAGTTTCCGTCAACAAACTTATGTTCTACTTGGACCAGTTATGTGTACAAAGCAGATGGGAAGGTTAGTCCACCAGTCAACCCAATCAGTTCTCACAAGTAGTCACTCTTTTCGGGCAGAGACTTTGATGAAAAGAAACCGATCGGATAGACACTTTCATCCGTAATCTAATAAGATTGCTCTCGGTAGCCCTGTGTGCTTATCGGACAGGCTGTCCAACTCCCTAGAGGTATGTCGGACAGAATGCATCGGAAACTGAGAAGCTAAGAGTGAGGGAATATTGGCCCAAATTGAAGAGATATTCAAAAAAAAATTGTGTTCGAACAAATTTATGTAAGTGTGTGGTCCGATCCTGAAAAGCTCAGCCACGTGATCGCTTTGGTTCTTACTGGAGCTTATCTGACATGAAGACCAGAGATATAATCCTCTGGTTAGGAATTTTTGGCTCCTACACCGCGAGTTAGCAGACAAGTCTAGGCCCATTGTTTTGTGGTGATGAGGTCACGTGCGATGCCTCACAATATTCCGTTTGCCCATCTTGATAAATGAATTAGGCATTCTCGTCCACACTCGGTGACTAGCTACCAGCCGATGGAAGCACGAAGACTAAGATACCTCAAGGTCGCCCAAGCCTAGAAAGAGTCGAAATGCCTGGGCTCGAACCACGGATCTTCCAGTCAGTAAATTTGCGCTTTAAACACTGAGCTTCCTCGAGCCAACTGTCGTGTGCGTAGATAACCGTTTAGGTAGTGTCACACAGGTTGATGACACTTTGGTTCACCTAGGGAAACGACTACCCTTAGCCGATTCGATACTAAAAACAAATGTACTTTTACTTCTTCCCCCCAGGATCGCATCACACTGCACAAAGAATTCATCATTTCCGGATGCTGTGCCAGCCCCAAAGGTTCCATTCTCTGTGATTTGACCGTGAACAAAACAGGGTTTGTTCCTGGCGAATCCATCACTCCCCAGGTCCACGTAACCAACCGGTCTTCGAGGCCGATTCAGACGGTACATCTGACATTTGCTCAAGTGAGTGTATTTTTCTACTGTGTACCTGTGACTAACGTTTGGCATTTTAAAAGTGTTGGAAGGCTTTATACTCCAATAAGTTGAGATTCTCTAGCCAACTGGAACTACTTTCAAGACACGTTTACCGTTAAACAGAAATTTTGGTGTTTGAAATTCTCTCTGGGTTGCGGACATTCCATCTAACCATTTCGCACTTTTTGGGGTTGCTCAGGAAGGCATACTCCTGGGACTTCAGATCTCTTCTACTCAACTGAGCACCTTTTTACGTTACATTTGAGAAAATATTCACAAGCGAAACAACTCACAGAAAGATTGTTAGAATGCATCACTGTGGGGTTCGAACCCGGGTCGTAGATATGACTTTCCACTATCCCAGCCAATCTGACAGAATGGGTATACAACCTCGAACAGATCTTTCGTGGAGCGTTTCAACTACATAAGCTCTGCTCACGAATAAGTGGGACCGATATAGTCCCGTATTCGTAAGTGATTAGAACTAGCTGAAATCCTATTTCTGGTTTCCTATTGAACTTGTCCGGTTGATCTCGTTCATCACAACTTATTTATTCGTGTGGGGTCCCTTTGAATTCTACGTTTACACTGCCTCGAGAAGCCAGTTAAGAGTCTGCTCACTGTGGATTGATTTGTTACCCAGGAAGCTACGCCAATGCTAAGCTAAGAAGACATAAACCTGGTAGTGTAAAAGTCACGTGGTCAATTTATTCATGTTTATCAGGTTGATAAAAGGAATTTTCTGCTCAACTGGAGCGACAAGTGACGAGTAAAAAGGGCGAGGAACGCTGCGACTGTTGGTAAATACGAAACGCCTATCAGAAGCATCATCTGTCATCGGTGTTCCCTCCACGTCACCGTGCGATTTGTACTCACTTTCATGAGTGATCATCTGAGGTCTGGACTATTCCCTACTCGAATCAAATGCTTGATTTCCCAATAAACCATGTCGTCTGGACTGCCGTTCCGGCAAACTGTTATTCACCGTTTTGGACACCAGCAGTGCGGCTGTTAAGCTCGCGCTGTCGCCTGCCAAACACGTGACACATTCCCCGTCACGAAGACATTTGACCATACCGCGTTGTGACTGTTTGTGCGCCTTCGCGACCAATGGAGCTACACTGAGTGTCCCATACCAAGCTGGTCATTGGTTAGAGGATCTCCAGTTTGGGGAGTGGAACAAGTGTGGCGATATTTTCTGCAAAAATGCTGATGCATCTGAATCGCCCGTCAAACACTGTTGTGTTCTGTGGTCAGAATTGTGAACCAAGGGATTTAGTCGAAGGCCCTAACTGTCCTTTCGTCTAGGTCTTGGCATCCCGTCGGTATCCTGGTCCACGGGTAATCATGAGCCGCATAAGGCAGCGAAGCATCAGTGTTGAACACTTATGCTGTCAATGATGATGATGGTGACGATGATTATTATTATTATGATGATGATGATGATGATGATGATGATGATGATGATGATGATGACATGTTTACCACCGTCTTTGGTCCCCAACCACACTAGAGGAGGCCTCCCGAAACAGTATATTCGCAGGAAACGGGAAAATTAGGTCAACGCACGGTGGAAGAGGGTGAAAAATAGACAGGAATGACAAAATAACAAACTCTGTGGGTTTTTTTATTGATACCTGAGCTACAGACACACAACCTAGTGTACCCGCCCTACTCATATAAACGTGAGTCCGTTGCACTGACCAGCACAGAACTGGATTCCTCAAAACACACCAACTACGCCCTAGGTAAAAGTCCATCCACAATGCATACAACATGAAGGTGGTTGATCGAACCGTGGGCCGTTGGTTAGGAGCAGTGATCCGATCATTGCAGGCGAGCTCTGCACAAGGGCCAAAACGAACGAGGGTTGACGGGTACCTTCGTATGTGCAGCCAACCTTCTATAGCCTTTGGTGATGCATTAAACTCTGACCCCTCAGATACGAACTATGTCAATGAAGCATGGAAGACAACCTTCCACCATAGTTGTACAATCTCGGAGTAACCACTGTGCGCCACTCGTTGATTCATTTCCCTCACCTCTGATCCAATTCTCTAAACAAGCTATCGAAAATATGGTAACATCCGTTGACTACGCTCAAGAGACTGAGTTAAGATAAAACGGTCGTATAGCTACTGCTTCTAGTGTCGTTGGTCAACATCGAACGTTTTTTGTGAAACATATGTATAGGTATGTGTATATTTTCCACACAGATTGTCACATTACACGGAACAAACGACCAGCAACACACAGAAACCTTGCGTCTCTTCGCCTCACGTCTAAAGCCCCGACAACCGCCAAACTTGGATCAAAATCTTCGGAATTCCACCCGCTTTACCGAAGATAACCCTTCCCTATTTTCATCCTCCATTTCTCCATCTTCTCACACCTCCTTGAACAAATCGGACAAGCCCCGGACCAATCAGCTGTCGGCAACGGGTGATCGTAACAATTCTTCGTTGTCCCAAGCGGAACCAACAGCCCTGTTCAAGTCTGTTGTGGCAGTAAATTCACATGGATGTTCTGCCTACTTTGAAGATGTGATTCATGTTCCCCCACTACCGGCAACTGGACTGGTGGGACGGCAGAACCTTATTCAAGTCGAATACGCACTCATCGTATGTTTCCGATTGTCTTTTTTTGGTGTTCGGGTTTTAAAGATGGCCACGAAGAACCTAATAATGGTAAAAGAAAAGACATTTGGGCGAGCGAATTGAGGGGTCATGATTAGACCAAACCTGTGCTGAATACACGTGACTCTGGTTGTTGGTTTGTTCGCTTAGCTGGGTAGTTTGATTGCAAACGTTTCGTACCAACCAAAGTTTTAAAGATGGCCACGAAGAACCTAATAATGGTAAAAGAAAAGACATTTGGGCGAGCGAATTGAGGGGTCATGATTAGACCAAACCTGTGCTGAATACACGTGACTCTGGTTGTTGGTTTGTTCGCTTAGCTGGGTAGTTTGATTGCAAACGTTTCGTCACCAATCGAAGAACTTGGTGGTGCGCAGTAATGAGTTATTTGTGTTTTGAGCAGTCTTGCGGGTGTGTTAATGTACGTGCTGCTTGCCGGGGCTGACATGTGATTGGTTGTTCGATCGGGCGGTCCCATTGGTTGTTCTGTTATCCTGTGTCCTGATTTGCCGATGACCACGTGACCTTTGTGCTTGGCCTCTTCCGCTCTTGTAATCAGGTCGCTGCTAGAGTGACCTCTCTGGGTTCCCAATTGTGACCTTTATCGATCCGACCCAAGGGGTTTTTGTTTTCTGATTTGCTAATGCGATCTTCAGCTGTCTTACAGTATTCCGGTTAAAATATTGGTTCTTTGCACGTGGTGGTGCTTAACATGGATCTAGCCCAGGGAGTTGGTTGATCGAATCCGCCGAGGAGTACCATACTTCCAGAAACTCCCTTCCGTCTATTGTGTATGTCAAGACTTTTGCGTTTCCCAGGTAAAATTTGTGCCCCCTTGGTCTTCGTGTATGGACATCAATGAAAGAGATGTCAGATTGTGTTTCCTTATTCCTTCTCAAAGTAGAATTTGTCACAGTTGTTGCAGCTGATTTGTTGTACGGAATTGTACCTCTTGCTTTTGTCTTGGTTGCCCGTCGTTCTTGAGTTCACTATCTGAAAAGCGCCAATAGGATTCCGTGAGTTCAGATAGATTCCTGACGTAAAATGGAGCTCTCCATGTGGTCACACGTTACAGAGGCCTCCTTCCTCAGGCTTCGATATGGTTCTGAGCATCCAAGAACATCTATTAGATTCATATCCACGTCACACTCTCATGAAAAATTCTCCTGTCCTGTCCATACCAAAGGAAGGAATCACTAGACTCGAGTCTTGCACATCGGCAGTACACATCCTTGGCAATGCCGCACATCTGACGTGCGAGGTGAGGTTGTTAAAGATGTCCCATCAGTGCAGGCTGGATGCATTCGAATAGTCAAGTCTGAACAGGTGAGACCGTTAACCCTCGATCACTGTAATCGATTTGCCCCGAGCCTCGAACGACGACTTACAAATTCCTAAAAATTCTGGCAAGTACCACAAGTTCTGCAAATCCCGCAACAACCAACCAAAAATTGTTCAGCTGGTTTCAAGCGATCCTGGCGCCATCTGATCGATCGGTCAACCACAATCAGGACACTTACTGGGTCGTCTTCCGTGGTGTTGAGCAACACGATCAAATCGTTCAAGGTTCATCCGTTCAGATGTGAGAATTCGGATTCGTCCTTCATGCTCTGGTGGATTGGTGCCTCGAAAGCCAGATGTTCGGAGCTCAGACGCCGGCATGGCCAAGGAGATGCATTGCTGATGGACTCTGTTACAAGTCCCTTCGGTGTGATATCATCAGAAGATTTTCGTCCCTGATCAGACAGGGGTGCGTACGCGCAACCACCTACAACCAGTCTATGGAATTTCTCTCTTCCAGAATATCATCATCATGATTGTCAGCTGTAAGAACCGCGTACTCTTCGTACTGCGGTTGTAGCTGCCGCAGTTTCGTTCACCGATGATTTGGGGGGGGGGGGG